GCAACCCCCCCCCCCCCGGCAAGCACAATTAATAACTGAACAGCAATAGCAGCTATAAATTCGTTCCAATCAAACCTGTCATTATATCGAACCCTTCCAGTCCCACGTTGGGTGCAAAAAAAGCGCCGTTTAACCCCAGCCAGCAACCAGGACCACACAGCCCCTCGCTCACTCCCCCGCCCCTTCACCTCAAGATGAGGGAGAGAATCAGAAGAATAAAAGCGAGGAAAAAGTCGTGGGTTGAGATTAAGACAGTTCAATAGGTAGAGCAAAAGCCGCACGCACAAGCGAAGCAAAACGAGGAATTAATTCCCTGCTCCAGCCATCCCCAGGAAAACCAGGCTCCATCAGGAATAACGGTGATTTGGGAAGACAAACGCCATCACTCCCAACGTCCTCCTCTTCCTTCTTCTTTCCCCCAGCTTTATATACCCAGTGTGACGTTCCCATGGCATGGAATATCCCTTTGGTCAGTCGGGGTCAGCTGTCCCAGGCCGTGTCCCCTCCCAATTTCTTGTTTCCCCCCCAGCCTGCTCGCTGGCGGGAGGAGAAAAGGCCTTGAGCGCCCAGCAACAACCAAAAACATCACACTGTTTCCATCCCAAACCCAAAACATAGCACAACACCAGCTGCTAGCAAGGAAGTTAACTCCATCCTGACTGAAACTATGGCAATTTTCAAGGTAGTAACAGCAAAACCATTGGATTTAGGTATGGGTGAAACAAAACTGGGACCTGTGGGAACAAAAAATTAGGAGCAGGCTGTTTGGGTGGAGAAAGGAAGGTGGAAAGGTAGCAAAAAGGGGCCCAGAAATGGAAAATAAAATGAAGAATAAGGTATAAAATCAGGTAAAGATCAGCACAAGGTGGGGTCTTCTGATATTAGGGGTGCAGATGACTGTGGATTGTTAGTGCCATCGACCTGCAGAGCCAGGTCTGGTGGGCACAGCCACCCCCCAGGGCATCGGGACCCCCTTTCCCCCCCCCAGACAGTGGGGAGGGAAGGGTGATAGAGCCGTCATTCCACAGCAGTCCTGTGGGATGCATAAGATTAAGCGCCGTAATTAGTAGCTTTGCTGCATGCAGAGAATCGTTTAATCATAAATTATTAGTAGGACGTGTCTGTTAATTATTTACGTTATCGATTACTTAATTTATTAGCTCTCCAGCCGTTTGTTGCTTCATCAATAAAAATGAATGGGTTATATCCCAAGCTTGCAATCGAGCAGTGGAGAGCCAGAGCCGTGTCCTGGGAGGGGGGGCAGGTGGGATGGGGTTGGGGGGCCACCTGCAGCACTGGTCCCACTCACACTGCAGGTCCAGAGACCTCCAGATCACCTTCTTCAGCTGGATCTTGTCCTGCTGGAGGAGTTTCGGGCCCTTGAAAGTCTTCTGCTTGGGGGAACAGGATGGAGGTATTTAGGGTGTGGAACACACCCCCCCAAGAGGGAAAGCACCCCACTCCCAGCCAGCCCAGTGTCGTGCCCAGCAAGACCCTGGGGCCAGGAGAAGGGAGGCAGCTGGTGGGGGATCCCCCAAGAGGGTCTCACCCCGCTTTCTCTGCCCTAACACCCTCCCCGGGTCCAGCTTTGTGCCATGGTCCCCCTGTACCTGGTGGCTGACACCGTGGCCAAAATCCCTTTGCCCTGAGGCAGATGCCAGCAGGGTGTCCTGCAAAGCCACTTGGCACTGATGATGTACTCCTGGCCTGTCTGGCAGCATCTGTCACCGAAACTGCCAGGACAGGGTGCTCTGGAGGCCAGGACCCCAGGCTGGTGGTGGGGAGAAGGAGGGAGGTTGCCAGGCTCCTTGTGGTGGCAAAGGGTTGGAAGTGGGAGGTAATAAAACCCACCCAAAGAGCACCCATGTGGGTGGTGATCAAGAAGACCCCATGCCAGTGGGGCAAATTGAGGCTTCAAGAAGAAACAGGGTCTGTCTTGTCTCCAAAAAGCACAGGCAGGATGCCCTGCATGGACCCAGGGCAGCGTGGCGGCCCCTCGCTCCCCCTATGGCCTGTATCTCCCTTCTGTCCTGTGTCCCACCATGGGAAGGGGGGTCTGAAGAGACAAGTGACACTTGCACCTCGATGTGCTGTGCCCTGCTCCTCTGCTGCCCTTGCCCTGCACAGCAGCAGCTGTAAGACGGGACTGACGGAGCTGAGCAAAGGTCGGGCTGCCGATACAGCCCAGCCCAGCTCTTCCCTGCTTGAGTCAAGTCTTTCCTTGTGGTTCACAAGCCAGCGAGGGCTCTGGCCACACTCCAGCACCTTTCTAGGTGCCGAGTCCCAACCTGGAGGGTACTTTGTTTCCTGGACAGCCCCAAGGCGCCTCCAAGGATTAGTTAGACAAACGGGGATGAGACTCCAATATCACTGAGCCACCTTTTCAATACAGACATGCTCACAGAAAAAAAATATCAATTAGCTGAAGCAAAATTCAGCCTGTTCCTCACAGTACTTTGGGGTGGAGGGAAGACTCTGGGACGGCTTTACCCCCTGGGGGAACAGCAGATCCAGTCAGGACGCCTTTCCTCAACACAGGCCCTCACAGCCAGTGGAAATACGCCACCTTCCAGCGGCCCAGCCTTCGCCTTTCCTCCCACCACGGCCACAGCAGGCTGGTGGCTCTCTGCTCCGCTTCACTCCTCCGCCGCCGGTCGCCGGGCCTGCTCCGGTCCCGGTCCTTGGGCCCGCTCCGCTCCCGGTCCTGCGGCCTAGGCCGCTGAGGGCTGAGGCAGGCCGGCGCCCGGTTTCTATAGCAACCAGGAAGTCGCGCCCGCACGCACGCATGCGCAGAATCGGGACGCATGCGCAGATCCCCGTCGCCGCGCAAAGGATGCTGGGGGTTGTAGTTCCCCCCTTTCCGCAACCCCCGCTCGCACAAGATGGCGGCGCGGGGCCTCGCCCGGCCGTACAGGCCGCGCGTTCACTCTGGCCCCTACTGAGGGCAGGCGCAGCCCCACGCACGACCCCTCCACCCCCGCCATGCAGGACCCACGCTAGGAGCAGCCGTTTCCACGCTTTATTGTCAGTGCGGGCGCGGTGAGGGGGTAGCAGTGGGGAGGGGGAAGAAGAGGCCTCACCTCCGCCCCCCCCCCCCCCACCCCCGGCAGTGCACAGTGTGTGGGGAGGGCGTGGCGGCTCCGTGGCCACGCCTCCAGCAGGCCCTAGGCCACGCCCCTTCCCTATCGCCACCGCCCCCCTCCCGGGTTAGGGAGGGGTGGAGTCAGAGGGTGAAGGGGCGGAGTCAGCAGCGGTAGGCGGGGCTTGGTCGCCCTCGGGGGCGTGGTCAGAGGCGGGGGCGGGGCCTCCGTCCAGGCTGGCCTGGCGCACCACGCGGCGGGGCCGGGAGGAGGGACGGGGCGGCGGGGGGGCGACCGCCGGCTCCTCGGTGGCCACCTTCCAACCCCCCATCTCCCCCTCACCTCCTCGTCGAAGGGCTCCCCCAGCACCTCCAGGGGCTCGGGGGACTCCATCTGGCTGATGCTCCTCATGACGGCGCAGAGGGAGATGCGGGGACGCCGGGATGTCCCCAAAAGCCCCGGCCCGCTCGGGGACTGCGGGGACGATGGGGACGACGGGGACAGGCCGCCTTCCTCCCCCCGCGTGGCCTCGGGGCGCTCCTGGGGCTGGGCCGCCCCCTCGGTGGCCTTGGGCTCCCACAGTCTGCTGTGCCGGCTGCCGGACACCTGCCATCAGCCGCTGGCCACGCCCCCGGACACGCCCACCCCCCCCGGTGGGAGGACACGCCCCTTCTGAGGCAGGGCGGGGCACCCACAGGCTCCGCCCCCACGGCCGTGACGTCAGAGGGTGGGGCAAGGGCAACACCCAAGCCCCACCCTGCTCGCAGGGGCGTGGACAGGACAGACTCTGCCCACTACACCCAAGGGGCGTGGCCATGATAGGCCCCGCCCACCAATCCCTAGAGGGCGTGGCCATGAAAGGTCACACCCATCACACCAGGGGGCGTGGCCACGACAGACCCCACCCATCACATCGAGGGGGCGTGGCCATGGAAGGTCCATATCACATAGGGTGTGGCCATGAAGACCCCGCCCACCACACCAGAGGGGCGTGGCCTCGACAAACCCCGCCCACCATAAGGTGTGGGCATGACAGACCCCGCCCACTACACACAAGGGGCGTGGCCATGATAGGCCCCGCCCACCATACCCTAGAGGGTGTGTCCATGGAAGGTCCCACCCACCACTCAGGGGGGCGTGGCCATGTCAGACCCCGCCCACCATACCATATAGGGCACGGCCATGGAAGGCCCCACCCACCATATCACACAGGATGTGGCCCTGACAGACCCCTCCCATCACACCCGATGGGCGTGGCCTTGACAGACCCCACCCACCATACCATATAGGGCATGGCCATGGAAGGCCCCGCCCACCACACCGGGGGGGCGTGGCCACGACAGCCCCCGCCCACCCTACCACATAGGGCATGGCCATGGAAGGTCCCACCCAGCAGCTCATGGTCCAAGCAGACCCTGCCCAAAGGGGTGTGGTCACATCAAGCCCCACCCACCCCGGGGGGGGTTGGCCCCACCCCCTCGCCCCGCCCACCTGGCGTGCAGGATGCCCTGGTAGAAGTCCAGCTGGCGCATGAAGCCGGGGTTGGGCAGGACGCTGGGGCGGCAGTGCCGGACGTGCCGCAGGGCCCGCTCCAGGGACCAGCCGTACTCCTTCATGGCGTAGGCCAGCACCGTGGCCGCCGAGCGGCTCAGCCCCATCCGGCAGTGCACCAGCGCCCGGCCCCCGGCGGCCCTGGGGCACCCACCCGGCTGCCACCGACCTCCTGGGGCACACCCACCCCATCCCCAACCACCCCGGTGTCCACAGGGAACCCCTGCCCCACAGCTCCCCATGTCCCCAGGGACACTGTCCCCAGGGTATCAGTGCCCCAGGGCTCCCCGTGTCCCCACAGTTATCCATGTCCCCAGGGCTCCCCATGTCCCCAAGGACCCCATACCCCAGTGCTCCCCATGTCCCCAGGGCTCCCCATGTCCCCAAGGACTCCATACCCCAGTGCTCCCCATGTCTCCAGGACTCCCCATGTCCCCAAGGACCCCATACCCCAGGGCTCCCCATGTCCCCAGGGCCCCCATTGTCCCCAAGGACCCCATATCCCAGTGCTCCCCATGTCCTCAGGGCTCCCCATGTCCCCAGGACTCCCCATGTCCCCAGGACTCCCCCATCCCCAGGGCCACCACTGTCCCCCTTGTGGCGGTGCCTCAGGGCCCCCCCTGTCCCCCGGGCTCCCCCTGTCCC